CCCCCCCCCCCGCCGAGCCTCCTCCGCGTAGCCGCCTTTGTCGTACACCGCCCACCCTTCCTCTAACCCACCTCCGCCGTCGGCGGGAGCTGCGGTGCCGTTAGCGGCCGTCATGGGTGACGGCGTCGGCGGCGACGGTGTCGAGCTTGCGGGAGACGCCGTCGCTTGCGGAGCGGGCGCAGGGATCGGCGCCGCCGTGCCAGCGTCGGTCGGGGCGGGACTGCCGCCGCCGCCGCCGGTGGGGGCGGGGGTTAGGGCCGGGGCAAGGGTGCCGGTTCCGGTCGGCGCCGCGGAGGGGGCGTGGGTTAGGGCCGGCGCAGGGGTGACGTGCGGTGCCGCGGTGGGGGCGGGGGTCGGGGAAGGCGTCGGCGGCGGCGGGACGTCGGGGAGGAAGGAGCCGATGTAGTCGCTGCCGTAGAGCTCGACGACGTGCCTGGTCTCGCTTTCCTCCACGAGGAACCCGAGGGCGGCGTGCGTCAGGGCTGCCGGACCAACAAAATAGCAATAAAACGAGGATCAGGAGAATGATGAACCGTTGTGTGGCCTGTGCTGCGCGCCTCTTCAGTCGCAGCTTGTACAATACAGCGGTGAAAATTGTCTCTGTCTCTGTGACGGCTTGGTTGGGTGTTCTTCGAGCCATCAGGCGTACCAACCGTCCCACGGCTGGAGTTGTGTGGACGCGCTTGGCGCTGAAAGTGAACTGCGGTGGCCCGCACCCCGCACCGCTCAGTTAATCGCCCTCTATATACATGTGTGACCCCGGTTGGGTCGTCTAGCTAGTAGAAGTGGAGGATAGGGGCCAGAGGGGCAGACGACAGAGTCCAATGATGGTGAGAAAAAAAACAAAAAACATGTGCTTTAACATGGTATATTTTTAGAAAAACACAGCGGACTCTCTATCCACAAACTATTGTGGAATCCTCAGCGTCTAGTTTTATCTGAGCCGGTTTCATGCGAGTAACGACTGCTGGGTGCTGGCCTGACGGTCGTCCAGGGTGTTGGCCACAGGGCCCAGACACGTGTCTCTGTCTTTTGTCTTTTCCCTCTTTCCCAGACGTTCAATTACATTTCTTGTTGCAGTACGAGAACACAACAAAAATTCATCTCTATCTGAAGCATGACCAACTCGTGTTGCTCTACATCCTCGAGCAGCATGCAGCGATATTTCCCCTGTGGGTAGCATCCCCAACAGGGCAGAGTTGGGATGGAATCAGCACGTTCCGATTCAAGTCTGTTATCGACTGCTGTACATGTACCCATGTACCGCAGCACGTGTATGTAGACCTGCACGAGCCAAGCTGAACATCAACATATTATTTGAGGCTGCGGAATACACGTTGGAAGCACGCTTTGCAAGCGCTCTCTCCTGGGGCGGCGCCTACCGTTCCAGGAGGATTTGCCGCTGCGTACAACTTAGCAGCCAGCGTACACCGCATTGTTGGACGTCTGGAGTACAGCAATATAGACAACAAAACTCTCCGCAAAACAAAACAAGGCAACTAACTCCTCCGCACTCTGTACTAAAAACTATTAAATACCATGCCAACCTTACTTACTCCACGAAAATGACGAAGTTGCAGTCGGAAGGCACCAGGCGGAGGGCGCTGTCGACGCCAGGGCGCTGTCGACGCTAGGGCGCTGTCGACGCTCAGCATAAACATAACGCTTCCCGGCAACCCAAACGACAGGAAAGGCGCACAACTGAGTACGAAATGTTGAAGAAAACCTCATCTCACCAAAGCTCTCCCAAAAATTTCCAGCACCATCGAGTATTGCCGTGGGCGTGTTCCATGGAAACGGCCCTTCGAGCAGGAACACCTTGACGATGGCCCCGTTCTCCACCACATCAATCTTATTCGAGTCCATTCCTGTCTCTCTGCCAGCTGCAGCGCCTCGCTCGTGTGCCCTTCACAGGCAGAAGGCATCACTTCTCTAAACAAGCCGGGGGTGCTTACGAGACAGCCCCTCTCTAAAACATGCCTCCGGCGATTTTTATGTTTTTTTTTTTATTTGGCCGAGCGCGTGCAGCAAGTTGCTCTGCGCGTACTCGGCCCTCCTGCGTCCCACTCGGACAGCGCGCCTGGCGTCAACATCCGGACCTCGTTAGGGCACAGAGGTAGCATTTTCCTCTGAAGAAATAAGCGTGCAGCATTCACGTCGAGAGAACTACAGCTCGGCGGATGTGGGGCTTGTGTATGAGGATATCTGCCTGCGTTTGATTTGAGTGTTCGTCACTCGCTGTCACTCTCTCCTCGCCAAAGACCACCCGCAAAAGTGCGAGTTTTGAGAGCACGGGAGGAGACGGTACGAGACGTTGGCAGACACCATGTCCGCCACTAGCGCCGTCACAAGCAACTCCCTGGCGGATCAACTGGCTTCCTACGAATCCATCGTGCTCAGCGTAAAAAACGAGGTGAGGAGAAAATCCTTACGGCTAACCCACCCAAGGGCACAGAAAATAATCCGCCGCTTCAAAAATTTTGTTCCCGTTCTCTACGATTATCCTCCGGAACACATGTCCGTAGGTTGCACACGCCCTGACGCAACTTCTCTGAACTCATCAACATATCAACACGTCGCAGCGGCGGGGGGCGGGTACGTGTACGGATCTATCGCGCCACGTGGTGTGCGGTGACGGTCCGAGTCCATTGATTTGTTTGATTCGATCTACCGATAGATCGGGTGGTTCCGGCACATGCATCCCCCCACAGCGTATCTAAGCAGCGTCTCCCTGCCGTGCTGGGACACGTCCTGTGGCCCAGTAATCACAACGGTCTCCAGCTTCGGTAGTATTCTACAACCTTTGTACACTGTTGAATTTTTAGTTTGTTCAACCAACAAGGTACTGCAGTACACTGCTGCTTGGCTGCAGCTGTATATACGTGTCTGCACAGGTACATGGGACCTATAATCTGCTCTACACTGCCGTACCTAGCTCTTTTCGGTCTGTTTGGAATTGTACAGCAGCAGCTCGACGCACGTTCTCTTCTGCATGCATGTGTCGTGCGTTACTGGAGTTGGACTGCTGACCCTGGATTGTTTGTTGTTGTTGTTTCTCACATTAGCCCTATAGACTAACTAGTTCACAAATAATGGGGAGCCGGGTGGTCTCAAAACCCGGCACATACGACGCCGCGGGGGAACAAAACAAAAATAGAGGTGTTTGTTGTTGTTGTTGTTGTTGTTGTTGTATTTCGTGTCAGTTGCTAATCCCAAAATCTAGCCAAGACTCGCTCCGTGGTCACAAAAATGCTAGAGCCATCAGAAGATCTAAAAGAACACGCACACTACAAGTATTAGCAAGAAGAGGGAACACAAGCCCGAGGAGGTACACCTGCAATCCCTGCAGCACGTTTGCGTGCTCACAACTGAACTACACGCCCACACACTACAAATCGACTACAGCAGCAGCATCACCCCCCTTGTCCCGCATTTATCCAAAATGAATGTCGACTACAGCGCACTGCTGTCTGAAGTGCTGTCTGTACAATAATAACACCATGGTGCATGGTACACAAGCTCGGGGCATGCAGCTGCTGTCTGAAGTGCTGTCAGAATGAGTCCGTGGACATACAATGAAGATGAACACCCAACCAAAGCCATCATTGACAGTCACCCGAATCTATCCAGATAATCTGTGTTAGGCACAGCAGTGTAAACATCGACACTGACTAGGATTCGTTCCAAATTGAAGGGGTCTTCCAAGATGCAGGTACACAATTAAAAGCACCCGGGTTATCCGCGCCATCTCTGCCCCGTCTCTCTATAAAACCAGTGACGTCATCACACACACCAAACACCTGTATTCAGGAAACGGAATAATAATTGAACAACACAAGAGATGCTTGTCCGTGCGTAACGGTTCGATGCCGTCCGCCTGCTCCGGTTCCGCTGCTCCGGTGCCGCCCCTCCGGTGCCGCTGTGGCCAGTCCTAGCACGACCAAACTCGACCCGCTCCGCTTCGTACACGCTCTCGTTGCTGTCCATCCCAGTCGGTTCCTCGCTTTCTCCTTCGTTGCACATAGGGTTCTTGGTCAAAAAATTCTCGCGTCGAAGGGTCAACCACCCCAATCGGCTCGTCACCATCTGTCCCCTCCTCCTTTGATGGCAAAACCAGGTTATGGAGACAGTACAGCTCCCTTTAGCAAACCTAGGGCCGTGTACATAGTGCCCGTCCACCTTTCTGATGACGTCTGCCTCCGCGCACGAGGATGAGATGGGCATGGCTGCCTACACCGACGGCCTGGAGACCCGCGCATCTGCACCTTTGTACCGGACGCGCCAGTGCCGACCCAACTCCACCACTACGCACGCCTCGCGGCGGCTTCAGCAAGAAGGTATCGGTCCCTTGAGGGTGAGTCTAAACCTGCTCGCTAGGAAGACCCCCCCCCTCGCTATGGGTCATGCCTACGCAAAACCTTGCCGAGGCAGCGAGGGGAAGAAAGAAGTACAAACCACTCGAATAAAGAAAACAAAATGCAACAACATGTACAAAAGATGTACATTGTTGTTGTTGTTGACTTCACATTAAACCGTATGCCAGTTGCTAAAGCCAAAATCTAGCAAAGACTCTCGGCCCGTGGTCACGAAAGTGCTAGAGCCATCTGAGGATCTAAAGAACACGCACACGTAGCAAGAAAAAGGTATACAAGAGCCCGAAGAGGTATTACTACACCTATATATAATCCCTGCAGCACTGTACGCGTGCCCAAAACTGAACTACACGTCCGTCTCACCGTTCGACTACAGTAACATCACCCCCTACCTGTCCNAGATGCATGAAATGATACACTCTGTCTTTACTACTTATGGTCCGCGCTGCCTACAAATAAATGGGAAGAAAGGTAGCTATACCTTCTGCCGATACACGGGCGAGAGAGGCGACCATACCCACTGCATTTAACACACACCCACATGTCGGTAATGAAACCCCAACCAGAAGCTTCTATCGGCGGCCACGTCAGGAGGCAATGAAGAGATAATGTTCTCCCGTGCCCTTCTCACATTGAACGACCATGTGGCCATTACACAACTATAGAGCTAATGTGAGAAACAGCAACAAACAACAACAACAAGCAAGGCAAATATGTTCTCCCGCGCCGCACATGCCCCCATAGATCACACACAAAAAGCAAGTTGATGACGAATATAGTCAGGCGCGCTTGCTCCGCAACCACATAAGGGTGCTATCATAGAACACCCGACAAACCGAGTTCCCCTAAATCTTCCGTCTACAACTTCCCAACATACAGACAGATACACAAGATGGCTACCAAAACTGTCTTGTTGAGCCTGTTACACACAGGGGAGATATCTTTGTATGCTGTCTGGTAAACCGTAGACATACAGGTAGCCTTTCGCTTACGCTTTCATTGCTAATCTATCTTAGACTTATTTCTATAGAGAGAGATGATTTGTTATGTGATATTAAGAAAATATAAAAAAATGATAAAAAGAAAATCAGGCACCGACCGTTCGAGAAAAGAGTCTTCGGAAACCGATCAAAATACAACAAAAACTCTTTTTCGCTCTTTTTCTCTGCCAGATGGCCTTGTCCCTGCTTGCGTTGTGACGTACCAAGATCGAACCAAGGGGGCGTACCTCATTCTCTTCGGCCCGTGATGGTGACTCCTATTATAGTCTTAGTTGTTACCTCGCATAGCGCGCAGAGGGAGTGGAGGACTCCACAATATCTGTCGTTGATTTCTATTGACTTGCGGACCCCTCGGGGCAATTTCATTTGAGTGTACCTCTTTAGGGTAAGTTAGCCTGCGACCACGGGAATCGACCGCGTCAAGTGTTGGATCAGTACGGACATACGAAGGTACTGAGTAGAGAGAGATCGGAACGGTTTTTGATGTGAAGACAACAACAACAACAACAACAACAACAGCAACAACACACAAAAGATGTAGATGCATGAAATGATACACTCTGTCTTTACCTATGGTCCGCGCTGCCTACAAATAAATGGGAAAGGTAGCTATACCTTCTGCCGACACACGGGCGAGAGAGGCGACCATACCCACTGCATTTAACACCCACCCACATGTCAGTGATGAAACCCCAACCACACGCCTCTATCGGCGGCCACGTCAGGAGTCAATGATGAGATAGTGTTCTCCCGTGCCCTTCTCACATTGAACGACATGCCATTACACAACAAGATTATATATGTTCTCCCGCGCCGCACATGGCCCCATACGTCACAGACAAAAAATAAGTTGATGACGAAAATATAAACACCCCGAGACGCGCTTTGCTCCGCAACACATAAGGGTGCCATAATAGAACACACCCGACAAACCGAGTTCCCCTNATGATGAGATAGTGTTCTCCCGTGCCCTTCTCACATTGAACGACATGCCATTACACAACAAGATTATATATGTTCTCCCGCGCCGCACATGGCCCCATACGTCACAGACAAAAAATAAGTTGATGACGAAAATATAAACACCCCGAGACGCGCTTTGCTCCGCAACACATAAGGGTGCCATAATAGAACACACCCGACAAACCGAGTTCCCCTAAATCTTCCGTCTACAACTTCGCAACATAACATACACATATATACACAAGATGGCTACCAAACTGCCTTGTTGAGCCTTTTACCCACAGATATCGTTGTATGTATGCTGTCTGGGAAACCGTAGACATACAGGTAGCCTTTCGGTTACGCTATGGATTCATTGCTAATCTATCTTAGACTTATTTCTATAGCTGGAGATGGATTTGTTGTGTGATATTAAGAAAAAATAAGGTATTTAATTAGGGGGCCGCTTCCCACACCCGCCTACTTTAGAAGAAAAAATCAAGGGGTAACGTACCAGCACCAGGCACTACGCACCAGGGCATGGGAGTAACGGAGCAAACAGGACAAAGAGGCGGCAGATGGGCAGACAGCCAGATGTACAAAAACAACAGCAACAGCAACAGCGAGATCAAGGTACCCAACACAGCAGAGTAGCCAGGGAGGTCATGAGAAAATGAAACACAGCACAGAGGCCGAAGGCAATACAAAGGGCATACGAAAAGGAGTATAGCATACAGCAGGGAGGGAAACAGGGCGCCACAACATCAGCCGGGTACAACGTTCGCCACGAGTCCCGCCTCGGCCGCCCTACTCGCTTCTACAGCAGTGCCCGGTCGCCGTTTCTTCCCCCCTAAGTGTGTATTCGCGAACACAAACATGAGATGACCACCCTCGAGCTCTCCCCCGGGAAACAAGGGCCGGTGACAAAACTACATAGACTAGTCTAATCAAAATCTCTCTCACGAGCCCAACTGACTGTTGAAACTTGCAGAAGGAATGTATGTTTGTACGCTACGTTGTATTAAAAAAAAGAATATTCTTTCCTGAACGTGACTCTTATGCATACGTAGGGCTATCGTTGCCGTTATCTACTGCTGTCGTTACCCGTTAGTATACCGCTTTGTTGGGTACAACCACCCATTCGCCGTCCGTTTGTACGAAACTATCCTGGAGGGGGGCACGCCGTTCATTCAGATCCCAGACCCAAAACACCCTGTGTCGGGTGCTATTCACATACTTGGCACATGCCACACGAATTCCGCGGTTGGTGTCGTTTCACGCACCCTCACGTCAACTAATGCAAAACATCACAAGTGACCGGGTGGCAACAACAGCAGTAGTCCCGCGGTGGAAAATAATTGGCTTGATTGCTCACTCACGCGGCCTTTCGATGACTTGAGATTTGGAAATTTGGAATTTATGAAGCGAATACTGCTGTAGCTAGCTGCTCTCAAGCGGTTGGCGTGTAAATCGTATTTGGGACCTCACCCCTATGGTTTCGTCGTTGCTTGCGGTGTTGACATATGTGTGAGCTGGTGAACATACTGCAGGTCCGTGCCAAGCTATCTTATCTGGATCTTATAGTAACTCGGGGCAGTGTGTGCCGGCATTAATGTTGGAATTTTTCCTACACATCTTTTGTATGTTGTTGTTGTTGTTGTTGTTGTTGTTGTTGTTGTTGTCGTCTTCACATCAAGAACCGTTCCGATCTCTCTCTACCCAGTACCTTCGTATGTCCGTACTGATCCAACACTTGACGCGGTCGATTCCCGTGGTCGCAGGCTAACTTACCCTAAAAAGTTACACACTCAAATAAAATTGTCCCGAGGGGTCCGCAAGTCAATAGAAATCAACGACAGATATTCTGGAGTCCTCCATTCCCTCTGCGCGCTATTCGAGGTAACAACTTCTTTTGCAAATTTCGTACCAACTGCAACAAGAGTGAGGGCTCGCATGCCCCGCAAGGCAAGGCGGTGCGAGGAAGGTGTGGTACCGACCAGGAGATGCGAGTCACAATGACGGCTACTTTGGGTATTCGGGCTTAGACACGTGCATCCACAGAGTTCATTTTAACCTCTTGCTGTTGGACCAGAGACCAAAGGTATTCTACAGAAGTGCCAAGAGATTATTTCCTTGGGTACATATTTAGTCTAGTCCAGGAGATACGCTCTCAGACCTGAGTTGTTCTCCTCTTGTGGAAAACGTCGAAAGTCCGAAGAAAATGGTGCACAACCGGGGCATCGAGCCACCAGTCAGCAGTACCCTGCCCCAGACGACGCCGTATGTATGTATGTGAAGGAAGGTGTGCCGTAAGGTTGCAAGTCAGCTAGAGCACAGGGGTGCGATCGATTTTCAAAGCGTAATTTCTCCACAACCGGGAGGGTGCGAGCTCCAGCTGATCCTTCTCAGGAAAGCTCTCGATGAGATATTTCCAAAACACCGTTTTCGACAGTGGTAACCTCCTGCTTGTGGAGAAATGACGCTTTGAAAATCGTTCGCACGCATGTGCTCTAGCTGACTCCCAACCTTACGGTATACCGGTTGATTCAAAGGCAGACAAGTCATGGTGTAAACCTCCTGGCCCACACGGGAGTGCACGGGGCTCCGGGCTGATCGAGGGATATTTTTTAGCTCCAGCCGTAACGGTAGAGAAGTGCTCGGGTTTAGCATGGTTTCTGTAGGACGAGCTCGCTTCCCCCACCCGACAAGCGTAGGCGCTGCGTAGGGAGTAGCCATACAAGGAGGCTTGGCTGGAGGCAGGCCCGCTCACGATCAAAACCAACCCCGCGATCAGCTTCGAGGGGGGGGGGCGGCGGAGGTTTATTCCATGATTTTCTACCCTATCATCAACCGGTGCCTTCCGCCACCTATACTATGTCATACCCGGTTGTGCAGATTTTTCTACGGACAGCAATGCGAGAGCCGCC